ATTTTGGATGAAAGTTGGGAGCCCACCTGGGTGGAACAGGCACCTGTCTCCAACATCTCTACTGATCACAAGGGATAAGGACCATCATTTTGGATTTGGATTCAGGATTTGACATTGATTTTGCATTTGTGTAGTAAAGTCTGTATTCTTGAAGTTCTCTCACGTATATGTCATGTCTCCCTAATTTCCGTGTTAGGCTTATGGAATTTCCAGTATATCCATTTGTAGATGACTACATATGGAGTCATTTAACCGCATGTCTTCTTCAAGTCTGTTTTTGTCAGCCCACTCTTGTTTTCTGTTGACATTGCAAGATTATTTTGGAGATTTACTTTCCATTCCCACTCCCCACACACACACCATCTCAGTGTCTCAGAAACTTTTGGGAATGGGTCTTGTCCCCCTCCTGTGTTTGGCTATGGTCACCCCTCTGGCTGGTGGTGTGGTTAACAACAGTTGTTTGCACAGTTGCCCTTTACAGTTTATAAAGCCCCCTTTCCATGTATTGATGACCCTTGGCATGATGCTGTGAGTCAGGCAAGGTGGGATTTCTTATCCTCCTCTCACAGAGCTGAGGCAGCAGGTGCTTCCATTGGCTCATCCATGATGATTCATCTGTGAATTTCCCCAGTTTCTTGGTTAAGAAATGGTGGATTATCAGCCACTTCATAGGGTCAACTTAAAAACAAGTGGGAAAGGTAGACCCAGAACTCAGATCTTCATTCCCCAGTCCCAGGGACTACCCTCTATACCCAACTGCCCCACCTTGTGCTGGTCTCTTCCAGGAAATGTCCCAGAAATTGAGATGGCACTCAACAGACTTCTTGATTTTAGTCTCTACTGGGACATAGCAAAGGAACTGGCATACATTTCTTGAGTGTCTGTTGCACCAGAACAGTGTGGGAGAGTCATTGGTGTCAAAGGTGAAGTCAGTAGGTTAAACTTTTTTAAAAAATTGGTTAGTTTTAATTTAATTTCTTAATAGTTAATTTACTTCCATGATTCAAAATCAAACAAGTATTAAAAAGCCTACGTTGAGGCATCTTGCCCGCCTCCGTTTCCCCACCCAGCACATACCATCTATAGGAGATCATTTGTACTAATCTCATGTGAATCTTCATAGTGTTTTTATGAAAACATAAGTAAATATGAATGTATTATTATTTTCCCCCACTTTCAAAAATTTATTTTAAAAATTTATTTTAAGGTTCCCTCCCAAGTGTTGAAGCCATTTTTTTTAAAGTAATCTCTACCTACAACGTGGAGATCAAACTCATGACCCTGATATCAAGTCACGTGCTTTTCTGACTAAGCCATCCAGGTGCCCATAATTTCCCCCATTTTTTAAACAAAAGGTAACATACTCTACATACACTGTTCTGCACCTCGCTTTTATTACCTGCCAGTATATTTCAGAGAGCTTTTATTTCAGTATGTAAGCAGCCAATTGTTCTTAATAGTTGCATGGATCCTACTGCATATGTGCTATATAGTTTATCTGTTTTCCTGCAACTGGAAATTGGGCAATTTAGTATCTTTGCTGTTATATGCCTGTTGCAATTACGAACGTTGGGTATACATCATTTTGTACGTGTGTACCTACCTATATAGGTACATTCTCAGAAGTGGAATTGCTGGGTCAGCAGGAAAATTCATTTATAGTTTATTTTTTATTTTTTATTTTTTTCATTTATAATTTTGATTGATGTTGCCTAAGGGCCTTGCAAAGGGCTTGGACCCTGGGGCGCCTGGGTGGCCCCGTTGGTTAAGCGTCTGCCTTCGGCTCAGGTCATGATCCTGGGACCCTGGGATCGAGCCCTGCGCTGGGCTCCCTGCTGAGTGGGGAGCCCGCTTCTACCTCTCCCCTTGCTCACAGTAACATCTCCCTTTCTCTCAACTAAATAAATACAGTCTTTTTTTAAGGAAAAAAAAAAAAGAGAGAGCTCGAACCTTTTGTGTTCCCTCCCTCAATGTATGAGAATGGCTGTTTCTTTACAGCCTTGCCAACAGAGTATATGTCAATCTGAACGATGTAAAGTGGAAAGCAAACTTCTTTGTGAGGTCTCTGTCTCCCACCTTGCCCCTAGTTTGCAGTGGGAATATTGCACAGTCCCAGACTTGCTGAAGACACCAATTCCAGTGGAAATACTGCTTCACCATGGCCATGGGTTTATGCCAGCTCTGGTGACACACACAGAATGGACCCAGTTGCCACTTGTAGAAGCTCATGCAATGGAAATTTGAGCATGCACTCATTATTCACCTAACTAGCAATAATAAATCTAAAGAACACAACAGTGTTTAGTAGAACAGAAAAGGAGATTGTTCCACTACAACGCTCTGTGTATCACGCTTTCAATGCTCATTTTGCAGCTCTTAGCCTTATTTCTAGGTACTGAGTTCAGAAGATTTCTCCCAAATCACAGACGAGGTCTTGCTGAGTTTAAAACTTTCACACCCAAGGGGAAGCACTTTTGAGGAATGATTTTGCACTTTCCTAAAGATGTGTAATTGAATAATTAGTACTTTGTAAGATGAATTAAAGCTGGTGGAAGTATACTGTAAACACAAAACTGTGACACAGTATGGTCACACTTTCCCTCAAAGTTGGCAGGCGGTCTCCTGCATCATACAAATAGGGAATCATATAAAAACACAGGATTTGTAGCTGAGCTAACATCTCCACGTTTCAAAAAGCACATATTCCAGGTCCTGTTCACCTCTCAATCTTGTTGGAAAGATCAATTCTTAGTCTTACTTTCCTCTGCAGACAAAATGCTCTATTTAGGAAAAAAAAAATTTCCTTTAGCTCTACTGCATAGAAAAGTGTGGTTAAAAAGAGCCTCGCAGAATGGTTATTCCATTCAAACAAGCATTCTTTTTCATTGAATTTTTGAGGGGGCCCCCTTAAAAGGGAACACCTGTCCTCTTCCTCTATATAGCCTGGTTGCACTTGGGGAGTTGCAGTGATGACTATATGTGGCTACACAAAAAATAATTCCTCGGCATATGGGTGGACGGCCAGAAGCTAGCTGACACACCCCTAACAAAGACCCATTTTCTTTTGTTGATACCTGCGAAGGCTTTCACAACAGGCATTTCCAGTTCTGTTCTCAGGCTCTTTGCAGCTACTTCTCTAGAAGTCTGCTATCATCCAAGGGCTGACTGTGGTCAGAAGCCAGGTATCCTGTGTTTTGTGCCATTGCGCTTCCAACCCGCCACACACATTCAAGAGGTCATCTTGGGTACGTGTTCTGTATCCACTCAGTGTGGCTCTTGGGTCCGCTTTCCCTTTGCTGTTCATGCCAACAGCCTCTGGGCACCCGTTTGGAGGCAGGGAACAAGGCATGGGGTGAGGTCTCCACCCCATGACCTTTGTACCTTGGGCTCTTTCCCTTGGTTGCTCTTGTGGGCACACTCTGAGAGTCTGCTGCTCTGTACATGTTGGATCCTCTGTTCTGTGGTCTTCGTGGTCCTACCTAGTTGTAGGAACTACTCCTTGAGAATAAATTTGAGACTGTCCTGCCATACCTTTTTTGCCACTCCTGTCTCAGCCCCTCAGCTCTGTTCTTGAGTAACAGGACCATGGCACAAGTCACAAGTGGGGTGGCCTAGGGAACCAGTCCTCTAGATTTTGAGGGGATTAGGTTGGGGTACTAAATAGACTTTACGTCATAAGTTTTTTTTTGTTTTGTTTTGTTTTTTTTCCTTAAGGCACATTGGCACTTGGGTCTTGATTGAGATCATTCTTACTCAAATAGAGTTGACACAGGATTATTTGGCAGTTGTGGTTAATGATCTAAAAAACATGGGGTTCTGTTCGAGGCCCAGTGAGATCTTCTCAGGGGAAAATGTTCTGACATTTCAAGCAAAATTACCTCTGTGCATTGTTCTGACACTATGCCCAGTCAAGTGTGCATGTACGATTGATACCTTGAGGGAATGCTTCAGTATGGGGAAGACACAGTACAGAGAAACATTAGAGTGGTAGTCAATGTTTGTGAAATTAGTGTGTAAATAAACTGCTTACCAGGAATGATCATAGAGGGCTTTACTTAAATAAATAAGAAATTGATACATAGGGTTTGTGGGCTGTCTCTGCCAAGTAGACCTCCCTCAAAATGTAAGACCACATTCACATCTGACCCCATGTGGAAAGAAGCATGCAAGCCATCTCTGGTGCAAATTCCATTTCTACCATGTGCTGGGTGTATGGTTTTTGGCGGGGGCGGGCAATGTGATTTTAGGCAATTTATTGAACCTCTCTGAGCCTCAGTTTTCTTAGCTGTAAGCTGCGGATAACTCGGTTACCTACTGTGCCACTCAGAAATGTTAGCTATTATTTTTAATCATTTTTAATACGAAGAGAAGATTGATATTACTTATTTATCCATTTGCACAACTTCTCCCCAAATCCACCCCCCCGACCCGACACACACCATTACCGCCAGTACTATGTTTACTTAAAAATACTGTGTAGATAGAAACGTCCCTCATCCCACTGCTTGGATTAAATATGTTGGTGTTTCCATTTGCATGTATTCTGTAGGAATCAATGTTTAGTGAAAAGGGATGGAGACACACAGATGTTCCCACAGTCCTGATGCTCATGAGACAGAATCAAATGTTTCCATATAGGTACATCTATTGGCTTAAACGCCGTGGATATTTCCTGACCGGCCATATGGATCTTTTGTCGTCTGGGATGTTAATATTTTCCTTGTATTTTATAATAGCTCTGGAACACGGCCAGTTTCTGGAACAGGGTCCACATGGCTCATTATGCGCAGGGCCCAGAAACTGGCTTGCTTGTGCTTCTCACATGAACAGGGACACGTACAAAAGTTGGGGGCTGTGGTAGGGCCGTGGGCAGGGGCACATACTCCCTTATTCTTGCCTCTGCATTAAGCTACAAATAATGAGCACTTTCCTGTGCTTTACAATAAGTCATTAAAAGAAATTATAGAGTCAGATGCAAAAATAACCCGAAGGACAACTGGATGTGTGGAACCACCAGTTTTCCCCCACGTGCGCAGGAGGTTAATCCTCGTTAACACTCGGAACACTGAGTTTCTATAGAGAGGGCTGCGTGTCCGCACACGTCTTGGCATCTGCCCACACGCTTCTGTACGGTGTGACTGTGCATCCCAGAAGAAGGGCTGCGGCATGTGGAATTTAACAAACCGATTCCTGAAAATGGTCTCATCAAGGTGAGCAACGGAGAGCTAATGGCATTCTCTTGCTAATTTCATCTTTCCCTTGGGATTTCCATAGTGGTTTTAAAAGGATCGCTATTCTTTTGTTCTAGGGGCACTGTCTCTGTCCAGTTTCTTCTCCCACTTATTTTTCACCTCTTGCTTTGTAAAACTTAATGTTCTCTGTTGTAGTTCAGAGGATGGGATCTAAACTAGACAGAGGTCTCTTCATCAGTTGAGAATCATCTGTCCCCTTTCTCATTTTACCCCTTCTGAAGTAATGACATTGAAGGCTTCCAGTTTGGACCTAAGATGGCTCTAATTACGAACAGATAGTCTGTGATGGAATTCGCTCAGATAACTAATTAACCGCAGGAATACATGGGCTGTGGAAAATTTCAGGAGCACCATCTGTGGAAAAACTGGGAAGGGCATGCCGTTACCACAGCTCCGGGGTCCATTGAGTGTGTTTGTGTGGGGACCGTGTCTCGCGGGCAGTGACTCACAGCTGTCGAAATTCCCATAGCATCTCACCTCAGGAACTCCAGGGTGTCTGCGACACCTTACAAGCAACCTGTTGATTTGAAGTTTCCAATTCTAAGGAAAGACTGAAATATAGTCTCTTTTGTTTGTTTTTGGTCTTTGTTTTTAATTGTCATGGTTCTGGCTTGTTCTCAATATCCGCATTATGGCAAACTTCTTGAGGGGGGATTCCTTTTATCCTCTGGCTTGAGAGAGTTACTGCATGTTCTCTCCCCTTAGGGACAAAGGGCACAGTTACGTCACCCTTACACTTTTTTAAAGTACAGAGCGTGCTTATTCCTGGATCCCGGAACTTGGAAGACCATGCTCTGCTGCGCTTTCACAGCATCCCCTGATAGTAGGTGTGCTGTGTTCGTAATTTGGAGGAGGCAACCCTTTAGCTGTGTTCACATCTGTACCGTGTGGGGCTCAAAGTGGAACCCAGTAATACTTAGAATTCTGCCTGGGAAAAGAGGGTGCTGTGTCATCTCAGCCCCACCCGTTTGCAGGTGATCTAACAGCAACACCATCAGGGTTCCCAGTGTGAGTCATTTGTGTACGTACCGGTGACTTGGTGACTCGGTGTTTGGGAACTAGCTGTCTCTGCAATCCTTCGCAAAAACCTAAACAGTGAAGCAATCTCCAGTTCTGTTGATGAAACTACCCCATCAACTCCCTGAGGATGTCCCTGTAACTCAAGAAGTTTTAGACTTTTCTTTAGAAAACTTTTTTTTTTTTTTTTTTTTTTAAACCATGTTTTCTCCTTCGGTCTTGAAGCAAATGATCCCAGTTGTTGGAACCCAAGTGAGAAATTGGGTTGCCTGCTGGGTACCTTACTGAGATGAAGACGAATTTGGGTTGGATAGGGGATTTGGATACTTGATACACGGATATGTTTTAGGGTTTTGTTGTTGCTGCCATTGCTGTTGTTTCATGGGTTTTATTTAGGCATTAGATCTGTTAGTTTTAGGGCACACTTAGAAATAAATCTTCATTGAGTGAGTGGGTCAGTTTTCCCTGCCTCTGTCTTGGTTTCACCATCAGAGACATCTGGCTGAAAGAAATATTAATGTGTGTGGAAATCTATCACCTGCCAATGCCGTTGGTGTCATTTCCAGTCTGATTCTGATCAAGGGAGAAATTGTAGGCCTTCTAAGTATTCAGGGAGGCCAATTTTGCCTGCACGTGGCTCGTGGCATTGAGATTAAAAATTAGTGATTGAGTGAAAGTCCAGATTTAGGTCAGTAGTACAATCTAAATTCTCAATGAATCACATTTATGGGTACCCTGTACTTTATTGTATAAACACAATAGTGGGAAAGCCAGGTGACATATAAAGGGAACCCAGATTTATTTATTACCATTACAAAAGCAAAATTATTTTCCTACATAATAAATGTCCTAATAAAACAAGTGGAACCAATGAAGAGATGGCAGGTAAGCCCATGACATGCTCAGAATGCACCACAAATACTTAAGTTGACAGCCCTTTCATTTCCTGAGCCTAAGTAGCTTCCTTCTTCTTTATCATTTACAGTCCAATGTTTCTCAACTTTAATAAGTGTATAAATCACCTTGAAGTACATGAATCTTGTCAAAGTACAGATTCTGTTTTAGCGGACAGGGTAGATGGAATAGAGGAAGGGAAGCTGAGCTTTTTTTTTTTTTTTTTTTTTTTTTTAGATTTTATTTATTTATTTGAGAGAGAGAGAGAGAAAAACACAAGAGGACAAGTGAGAGGGAGAAGCAGAATCCCCATTTAGTAAGAAGCCCGAGACAGGACTCAATCCCAAGACCCCGGGATCAAGGCCTGAGCTGAAGGCAGATGCTTAACCGACTAAGCCACCCAGGCACCTTGAGGGTCTTCATGTCTTGTAAGCTCCTAGGTGATGGTAATGCTGCCGGTCCATGGATATCACTTTGAGAGGCAAGGTTTCATTTAATTTTTTCAGGTCCTTGGAAAGTAGGTTATTGAAACTTAATGGAACCTGGTAGATCATATCACAATTAACATTACTGTCTGCCATGTTATGGGAATTTAATAATGCATTGTTTTTTGCAATTTAATAGAACATTGTTCAGAGAATGACAAATACCATATGATTTCATGTGGAATTTAAGAAACAAAACAAACGAGCCAAGGGGGGAAAAGAAAGAGAGAGAGAGACAAATCAAGAAACAGACTCTTAACCACAGAGAACAAACTGATGGTTACTAGAGGGGAGAGTCATGGGGGGATGGGTTAAACAGGTGATGGGGATTAAGGAGTGCATTTATCATGATGAGCATGGGGTCATGTATGGAATTGTTGAATCAGTGTGTTGCACACTTGAAACTAACATAGCACAGTGTGTTAATTAACTGTACTTAAAGTAAGAGGCTTAAAAAGTTGAGAACAATAGTAATAGAACAGTATTAAATCTGAACTTCATTATAACCAAATCTCACCTGAAATTCTAAAGAAAACAGAATCCTAATTAAAGAGGTTAAGCTTTTTAATTGGATGTTAACTGCCATTTTGTTCCGTAATCTAAAAAACAGCAGTTTAAGGGATGCCTGGATGGTCAGTTGGTTAAGTGTCCATCTCTGGTCATGATCTCAGGGTGGTGAGAGCCAGCCTGGTGTTGGGCTCCACACTCAGCACAAGTCTGACAGGGATTCTCTCCCTTTTCCCTTCCCCTGTGCATGTGAGCACTCACATACTCTCTCTCTCTCTCTCAAATAAGTATACAAAATCTTTTTTAAAAATAGTTTAGGGGCACCTGGGTGGCTGAGTTGGTTAAGCAACTGCCTTTGGCTCAGGTCATGATCCTGGAGTCCTGGGATGGAGTCCCGTATCGGGCTCCCTGCTCAGCGGGCAGTTGGCTTCTCCCTCTGACACTCCCCACTTTCATGCTCTCTCTTTCTCATTCTCTGTCTCTCAAATAAATAAAATCTTTAAGAAAAAAGTTTAAAAAATAGTTTAAAACTGTATTTTAAAAAGCAAAAATTTTAGGTTGTCTGTTCACTTGATGGGCAATTGACTTGTGCATGCTTGACTTTACCACAGAGGTGTGCGCTCTTTGGGCAGTATTGCTCTGTGAAGAGGAGGTGAGCATGGATAGGACCGCCAGCTATGGGTGGCTCTGGCTTCCAGGGATTCTTCCTTGATTACCACAGACCAGTAGGTTTCTTGGGGCAGTTGTGTTAAAGGCACTTCAAGACTTTTGGATGGTGGCAGCTGTGCCTGGGATTGGGATGCCTGGTAGGGTGTTCTCTGCCCAGACCTGGTCCTTGGGCCAGGCATGTTGTACAAGGTACTGTACAAATTGTAATTCAGAGGAGAAGACCCCTCCCCATCCTAATAGGGAATATGGTCTAGTGTTACTCCTTGGTAAGCTGGGTGTCTGACCAGTAGAAAAATTTTTGCTTTTTTCAAGGACGGAGTATGGGATAGAAGGTGTTATTAAAAGACCAGAGCTGTTGTGCTTTCTATCAAAGATGTATGTAAATTTATCAAATTAATAATTCAGTGCAATATACTTTTTTATGCTTAATTACATGTGTGTATTATTCTGGGTCTTAAGAACCAGCAATTTCTCTGTCATTCTTAGGCTAAGTAATGTCTGTAAGTGTCACAATACCATGCACCCACTAGGGAATCAGAGAGTACCCTGGTACCCTGGTATGAAGGACTGTGCTGTGTAGAATGCATAGTTGGATACCCATGAACATAAAATACATTATGATTGAAAACTACATTTTTAAAGGCACTTCCTTCAAAGCTTTGGAACATCTGTCTCATCAGATTTCATTTACTAAAATATTTATTAGTTTCAGTTGATTGGTCATTCAGGGAAGTAAGTAAATATCTGTCATGATAATTAGGCCCACACCACCATTTTACTTATGGATTCCACCTGCCAATTGTTTTCCCTCAAGAATGTGAAGCTATTTGTTTGTTTGTTGTTTTGTTTTTTAAATTCTTGGCTAAGCAGTATATACCTAGTGGAAAAATAATGCAGAGAAATGAAAAAAAAAAAAAACTCGTTTCTGTAGTTGAAGGCCTAGTTTTCCTTTGGAATCTGAGGTTCTGACCTTGTTCTATCAGGGGAACCACAGCGAATGGATGAGTTGATTAAAAACTCTGGTCCCCTTTCCGCCTGTATGAAAGGGGGGTAATTATAGTTACCTGCACCTCTAGGGTCCTATGAGTCTTAATTAGTTAATATTTGCAAAGTGTTCGGAGATCTTTGAATTAAAAGTGCTGAGCAGTGGAATCCAAGTTCAGTGTAATTATAATTGGAATGAGAATTTCGATTGTTGCCTTCCCTCATCCTCCCTCCATGATGTTCTTTTAGCCAACCCGGACATGACCTGTGGTTAACACTCATCTCTGCACACTTTTCTCTAACCCCTTCTTTGCAACTCACTTCAGCCTAAAAATAAATAAATAGAAATAAGTTAAAAGATATACCCAAGCCCTTAACTCTAATCTTACTTAAGTAACTACT